TCGCAAGGAAGCAGTAGCAGTATCAGCAGATGTTGAAGAAATGTTTATGCAAGTAAAGGTACCCGAAGGTGACCGGGGAGCGTTAAGATATCTATGGTGGGAAGGTGGGAATACGTCTAAAGAGCCTTCTGAATTTCAAATGACCTCTCATCCATTCGGAGCTACGTCATCCCCGTTTTGTGCGAACTTTGCTATGAATAAAACAGCTCTAAGCTTCTCGAGTGATTATGAGCAGTACGTTATTGATGCGGTAAAAAATAACTTTTACGTTGATGACTGCCTGATATCCTTTTCGAGTTGCGATCAAGCGAAGAGATTTGTCACGCAGATAAACGAGTTGTTACGTAGAGGTGGGTTTAACTTAAAAAAGTGGGTTACCAACTCCGAAGAAGTGAGGTCTATGTTACCGGATAAGGGCGTCAAGGAATCATTGTTTGGAATATCAGCGGATTGTATCGTCACTCATCGAACGCTTGGTATAGAATGGGATGTAGTACATGACGTATTCAAGTTCCACTTTGACGCACCAGATAAACCAGTGACGAGGAGAGGAATCTTGTCTGTTGTTTCGTCCCTGTTCGATCCGTTGGGTCTGATCGCTCCGGTGTGTCTCACAGCTAAGCTACTTCTGCAAGGATTATGTAAATCCCAAATAGGATGGGATCAACCTCTCAACGAACCGTACGTGTCCAAATGGTTAGATTGGTTAAGTTTCATGCGTCAGTTGGGTCATGTCACAGTTACCCGAGGTATTAAGAATAGAATCGACGAAGCTGATGCGAAAGTGGAGTTGCACCTATTCAGTGATGCTTCAGAGATTGGTTATGGGGCGGTTGCTTACGCTCGGGTAAGCTATGCGAAGGTACAACCCTATTGTGTCCTGTTATACAGCAAGTCTAGGGTGGCACCTATTAAACCAGTCACGATACCGAGGTTAGAAATGGCGGCAGCGGTCTTAAGTGTAAGACTGAGCGAGGTGATACGGAAAAGTCTGCCCAACTTCTTCTGTGGAGTGAGTTTTCATACGGATTCTATGATAGTACTATACTATATTAAAAATGCTGAAAAGCGGTACACCAGCTACATAGCTAACCGTCTTGCTGTTGTTCATCAGTATACCAGTATTGAGCAATGGAGTTATGTAAGCTCATCACAGAATCCGGCAGACTGGACTTCAAGAGGTATACAAAGGATGAATGATCTAGAGACTTGGTTTAAATGTCCAACTCTGCTGTACAATGACTCGAGTACCACCACTTACTGCCCAGAACCTACTATGGACCAAGTAGAGTTCAGAAAAGCTACGGTCAATTTGAGTAGTACGGCTAACACTCCGTCACCTATCTTGTCCTATTACTCGGAATGGATGAAATTGGTTAGGTCTGTAGCGTGGCTCAGAAGGTTCATAGACTTCTGGATAATACTTCATTCGCCGAGTATTGAAGGCTCCGTCACGACAGGTTACCTAAAGGTCAAGGAGCTTGAGTCGGCCAAACGGAAGATTCTGATGGTTGTTCAAAGGGAGGCATACGGAGAATTACTGAACGAATCCAACGTTAGTCATAAAGAAGTGAGTAATAAACGTCTGAGAGGTTTAGCACCAATAATGATTGATGGGTTACTCTGCGTCGGAGGTCGCCTAATGTACTCCGAACTCCCGAGCGAGTCGAAACATCCTGTAATTTTACCTGGTCGACATAGGGTAACCGAATTGATAGTTAGACACTACCACAAGGAAGAAGGACATATGGGAACTTCGCACGTGTTAGCTACGATCCGCAAGTACTATTGGATAGTTAAGGGCACCAGCACGGTTAAAAGAGTAATAGGAAGGTGTGAAACTTGTCGAAGGTTCACCTTATGTCCAGGAAACCAACAGATGGCGCCACTCCCAGTTTACAGAGTGCAGAAGGGTTGGTATAGTTTCGCGACGACAGGTGTGGACTACTTCGGACCCCTTATGGTCAAGAAGGGTAGGTCACTAGAAAAAAGGTATGGTTGTATGTTTACCTGCCTGCAGACAAGAGCAGTACATATTGAGATGGCATACAGTCTGAATACCGATTCATTTATAATGGCCTTAATACGTTTCATCGGAAGAAGAGGGAGACCGACGGATGTGTTTAGTGACAACGGATCTAACTTCGTGGGGGCAGTCACAGAACTAAAGAGCTTCGTGCAACAGTGGAATCATCAGAAAATTAGTAAGGAATTATCGTCAAGACAAATTCAATGGCATTTCAACCCTCCACTAGCTAGCCATAGAGGTGGAGTTTGGGAACGAATGATTAGGTCTATACGAAGGCTGCTATTATTGATCACCAGGGAACAAGTGTTAACAGATGAAACCTTAGGTACGTATCTGATTGAAATCGAGAGAATTCTAAACGATCGACCCCTAACCCCGGTGGTCCAGGATGCTAACGACCGACTAGCTTTATCACCGAATAGCCTACTATTGTTGAGAGAGTGTGACGGAATAGCGGAGGAAGGAAGTATTAGTGACAAGTTCCACAAACGTTGGAAGCAGGTAAATTACTTAGCCAACGTGTTTTGGAAAAGGTGGTTAAAGGAGTATTTGCCTTCTTTACAAACCCGTCAGAAATGGCTAAAGGAGCATCGCAATTTTCAGAAAGGAGACGTAGTTATTGTCGCCTCGGATATTACTACTCGTGGAAAATGGCCCTTAGGGATAGTAGAGGATTGCGAGACAGATAAGGACGGAAGGGTCAGAACAGTAGTCGTTCGTACTAATAATGGGGTAGCGAGAAGAGACATACGAAGGGTGTGTCTCCTAGAAGGGTCCAACTAGATAGGTTATATCCACATTGGATGGCGGGTGGGCGTACTGCTGTAAGTCCTACACGTTATTCCGGTGTGGATTAGGGGATAACATGGGAACCCTAAATAAAGTGTCATTAACGCTTGCTTTTTGCATGGAGGGATTTTGCGGGCCGGTGTAGAATTCTTTTTGAATGTTTTGTGTTTTGGAAAATCCCTCCATGTTTACATATTTTTTGCTATGACATGACGGACCTTTTCTGTTGACATCTTTGGTATTTTATTTTATTCCAATTTGAGATTTTATCATTGTATATTGTTATTCTTTCTATATTTTGTACTTATATTGAAGTTTTGTGTTTGCTTCTGAACTGTACATATGTTGTTTAAATTCGATATAATATGGCTACCGCCACATTTTTTGGACGGACGCAGTGGCCGCTGGACTTAGCTTCACTTATTGGTTATTGTGTCTGATACTCTGCGGAGTAACCTTACCCTGGAAGAAGTACTGTTTCCGTAAGGCTTTGTATTTCCATTTTTTAACCAATACAGAGACGTTTTCTCCTAGAATTTTGTCCTTTTTTGAATTGGTTGGGACCCGGAACTAGGAAAGGCGTACAGGAGTGCTTCTATTGGAACCAATTGGGACGGCCACTGTAGAAATAAATTTACATAATAAGCGAATTGAGCATACACGTACGCACACATCTGAATTAAAACAACCAAGGTAATATGCAAATAATTGACAAGGTCGAACTACGTGTGAACAACTCGCCTAGGATGGATTGTTTAAGTTGTCAAAAGGCTGAGACAAGGCTTGTAGGTTCGACATATACATACACGCACTACGTGTACTTTCTAGTTTTTAGTTCTATCATTTTGTGTTTACATGTTTACTCTGATGCTAGCCAAATTATTGTCCGATTTTAAAAATGCGTTTTCAATGATCAGATGTTTCTGTCGTCCGTACCTTGGTTACTGATGGTGTGATGAACATTAGGTATTTATTTCAGTGTTGAAGTCCGATATTGATCACTCGATAACAGATAATCATTCTGAATATTGGTAACATAAAACTGGTGAGAAGTAACAAGATCTTTTTAGCTCTATACCGGGGACTTATTGTGTAGGAGGACTGTATAGAATTTAACAGAAATGTGGATAAATTTCAGTGAGTGGTAATCTATACTGGACACTGTTGCTCTTTGTTTTTCTGCATATTTAAAGGTATCTGAATTTGAATTTTTTCTGAACTTGAAACTCCATTGATTGTGGAAATAAAAAAGCAAATGCGATTATTTTATGATTAACTGTAGTAATACTACGTACGATCTAACAAAACTGAATCCAAAACATAACTTCTCATCTCTGTATCCTATAATCTTACAATATCGGTGTGTATGTGTGATGTTTGTTGATCCTAATAGAAATAGATATTGATTGCTTGTCAAACTGGGTTCTCTACTACTAGTGAGATCAACTAATAGGTATGACTGATCCATAATTCGAACACATGGAAAGTGTTCACACTAAATTTTAACTGTTCTCATTTGTAGCTTTTGATAAAAAATCTCTTGATACTTATCAATCAGTTGAGTGTCCAAACTTCAATTCAATTATTCCTCCATTCGACTGGATGCCTCCAGCTGTTCCCAGTCATTTGAGCAAAGTACTTTCACATTTACATGGTGCCCCATTTGTTTGGTTCATTGGTCAATTGGCTAAATTTTTAATGCGTCCCACATTTGATCTAAGTGAAGCATCTAAAATACTCACTGATCAAACTGAGAATCCGACTGTTGGTGTTCATATGTGCTTACTGAGTCGTTAGCTTACCTTTTTCTCTTGTTCTTTCTTCTTCCAGATACACTCACATGCTGCTCTTTAGACGCCTCCAGCACACGATGTACCTCCTGACTAAACGCGAACCAACGAAAGGCTGGAGTTACAGCGTTCGAGTGTTAGTTGGTCTGTTTATTGTGTTTTGTTTCTCTGTTTAGTTTGCAGGCTTCGGGTCGGACTAGGCTGTGCTGCGATACCGGATGTGATTTGTTTACCTGATTCAAATATACAGGTTAGCTGCTTTGTATTATAGCTAGTATCACCCAATTACGAAACGTTGATCTGGCAATTAGTCTAACTCATAACAGCAACCTGACTCACAATATGTAGACTGAAACGTTGTTCTTCCACTATGATGAATAGTGTGATGTGTGATGGTTAGTTTCTCAGATCAAGGTAATTCTTTCACCATTGTTTTGCTGCTTTTTGTCTTGAATTATTACATATATAGTCTACGTCTTGTGAGTAGCTGATAAGTCATTCAGGGTCGTCAGTCTGCCAGGCTTTGATCGGATATTCAATTTCATGAATGACACTGTATCAGACGGGGCCTAGCATGTAATTAAGATATCACTGCCACTGCTGAACATAGTTGAGCGTGTTGAGCACTTCAATTATCTAGGCAGTCTCATCAGTGCTGATGGCCTGGTGACTGATGGATCTTCAGCACGGATATGGAAGGCTCGATTGGCTTTTGCCAACTGGAGTCACTTGCGGTGAAGGTAAGACATCCGTTCGCTAACAAAAGGACGAGTGTAGTGCTCATCAGTTCGCTCTGTCCTACTTTATGGCTGCGTAACATGGCCAGTCAGATTCTCGATCATAGGTGTCTGCGAAACATTGCTCATTTATCTTGGAACAACAGCGTAAGCAATTCTGCCGTTAGGAAACGAGTCCTTGGTAAGGGTGTCATATCGATGAATGAGGTATCGAAACTTCATCAGTGGAAGTGGTTGTGACATATGTTGCCTAAGTCTAACCACCGACTGCCTTTTCGGGCTATGTTTTGCCATGCGGGAATAGGTTAGACCAGGCGTTAGAAGTCAGATTAATTCCTAGCAAACTATTTGTACCATGTCTCTATTTCCAGTGGTTTTGTTATTGACCATTCGGTCACGAATTTGAATGAGAATAAAATTTCTTAATTTCAATATGTAATTTTATTTTCAGTTACAGCAGAAAAATCGATCAAGTCATGTTAATAATATGAAATGAATAGTTTTCTGAATAAACTGTGTTTCATTCATCAACAACTTTTTGTTAAGTGATCTACTCCATCAAACAAACGTCTATATTGTGTTGATAGAACAGTGAGAAGATGTAATTGATCTGGAAAATATTGTGATGTATTTGAGCTACATACACTTTTCGAAGGATCTGATCATACGTGTACTTGTCAAGGCATTTTATATGAATATTAATAAAATGTCAATTAAATAAAAGTTCAAAGTAGATATAAGGTGATAAATGTGAATAAAGGAGAGAGAAAATTAACGTAATATGGAAAGAATAAGAATGGGTAGGAAAATGGTCACATTACCCTAGGTTTATAGATTACCATGGTAAATTGTTTTTGTACACAAGGGAGATTTTAATTTTCCAATAGCTAAGGCCTCCATATACTTCAAAATTCGTGCTTTAACAAAGGTGAACTTACAGTAGAGGTAAGAAAAATAAAATACAATAACAACAGTTTGTTGTCAATTGTAGGTCAAACCGTGGATAAATAGACTTAAAATAATCATCACCAAAACAATAAAACCATTACGTAATACGAAGTGTGTACATAATTAGATAGTGAAGAATATGAACGGAAAGAGGAAGAAAATTACCAACAAATACAGGATGTGAAAGTGATGCTAATACTAACAAAAGAAAATTAAGAAAAGATTTTCAACGTTGGTTACGTCATATCCGGCCATGGAAGAGATAGGGTTGTTACGACTTCTTTCTCATTACATAAATTGGGTTTGAATGTACGAATTCCTATGGCTTCTGCTATATGTAGGCGACAGTATGCAACTCCATTGGGAAATGATGCAGTTGTTATACGATAGATCACCTGAAAAGATCTAGACTTATCCACAATATGACCATTATCAATTAGACGTTCTACAATAGAACTGTGCATTGTTTCCAACCGGCCGTTTATAAATCATGCTAGGAGATATTCACTTATCGAAAACTATATTGTTCGCTTATATATGTTGTTTTAATTTTCACAATGGAAATCTCTTTACTCATTAAAATATTTTTCAAATTTCTAATAGCGAAAGTTTGATTTATAGAAATAAGAATTTCTAGGAATAATCTGTTTATCACATTCTAACAATTATTTGTTGTGTTTATTAGGCTATCATTTTTCATGGTAATGAAGATACAATCGAAGTAGAGAATCATTTATTTGTCATCGGATAAAATTCTCTAAACACAAAGTTCAATATTCATTTTTCTATTGATAACAGTTCACTTTTTTTCGGTCATCTGTTCATTTGTTCAATTGTTACACATTTTTGAAACCATCAATCGATCGATATTAGACTACCATTAGAAACCTGGAAGTACTGGACGGCCATTTCGTCCTGGTATGGGACTCCTCAGCAATGCGCATCCACGAACCCAGGACCTTGGATATTGTGCACGAACGCCTAACCATCGGACCACTGAGCCGGTATCTAACGGTGTTAATGTCTAACCTCATACACAGTCTTCGGTAGTTACTGCATACGCCCGAACAGGTTGAACTTCACGGGTCACGTCTTCCCACTAGAACTCGGAGAAGATTCCCCACGAAGCTAGTCACTAGTGTGATGTAAACCCAGAGAGGTTTTCTGCAATATCTTATCATTAATGGAAATTCATGACTTGAATCTTGAGTTGGTTCCGACATTCATACTACTCGCTCTGTTATGCGGTATCCATTCATCATGAACTTTCTGATAAGCTTCATTTTTATCATCTTTATCACTAATACAAGGATAATATTTCATGAGTTTCTGTAAATCTTGCCCCGCCCGCCCTAACACATGTATTGCTAAAGTGCAATATACATATGTCTTGGTTACTTTATTTTTTTAAAATAAACTTTATTTTTACTTTAGGTATGTTTGGACCAGCTATTCTTATGATCTTGATTACATTGTTTGATTGTCATAATAAATATGCAGTTGTAATCCTATTGACATTTGGATTGTTTCTTAGTTCTGGTGTTTTCTCTGGTGGAATGCTTAGTCCAATTGAAATTACACCAAAATATTCTGGTTTATTATTTTCTATTTCTAATTCAATTGGTGCATTGACAGGATTTTTGAGTCCAATTGTAGCAAATGCTTTAACATCAAATGTAAGTTAAAAACAACGTAATAACTTTAAGGCAAAATGTTCATTTAGCAAATTATTCAAAGATATTGGAAAGTATCGTTAAGAATTTGAATAAAATGAATTTGTTTTAATGATTTATGGTAAGATAGATTGTTTGAAAATTATAGTATATGTGAAAATGAAATGAAATTGTTGCTATTCGAAATGATTTCATGTACACTATAAACTAGAATAAATTTATATTCAATCAATTGAACAAATAATATCAACTATCAAAATAAATATAGATCAGATAGATTGAAAGAAATCATAAAACACTTTTCATGATAGAATTATGGAGATTGTTGAGTTCTATTGAAATCATGAATTGATCATTGTCAGATTATCATTAGAATTATAGAAGCATTGGATGGCCAAATTGTTCAATTATAGGACTCATTAACAGTACATATCGATCAGCACTAATCCCGTGAATTCAACGCAGGATCTTTAGCTTCGCGCACTAACGCTTATCCTGTAGTTAATGTACATAACTTTGCTACATCGAAGCTATTGAGCTATCCCACCCATTGTCTTCGGTAATTATATGCCATCAACATAAAGGTTTTATATTGTTTTTATTATCTGAACTAATTCTGCACAATTTTTTTCTCATTTAAACACAATAATCTAGAAATATGTTGAAATAAAACCAGATCCATGGAGAAATTTAAATTATTTGTCTTCTTGTTTTTTTTTCAAGAAAACTTATACAGAATGGCGTTATGTATTTTATTTAGGTTCTGTAATATTTATCATTGCTGGTTTCTTCTTTCTTCTATTCTCATCATTCAATGTACAATTATGGGCTATAGAAATTGTCAATCATGATAAAGATAATCATTACTGCCTTACAAATAAAACATTCTCACATAAAATAGCCTTATCAAATGAACAACATCAAGTAGTCAGTCAATAAACCATGAAAACTAACTGATCAACGCAAAATAATTTGATCAAGTTTACAAATCTAATGAAATGTTGTTAATGAATAATGATTAAATAAAAAAAATTTACAATTAAATTGTTGTTCCATTTTTTTTCTCTGACAAATAACTATTTATAAATACTTTTTCTTTTTTTGATATCAAACTAATAGTTCCATAATAATTGTATTAGTCATTAATACTTCAACTTAATGTTAACTTGTCTATTTGTCTTATCTAAATGCTCAATCACCGACTAATTTGATGGACGGTGTTGTCTGATATAGGCGAAGGCTGAGAAAAAGCTATCGATGACCTTATCAAAACATGGTAAAAGTTCGTGAAGTCATTGACAACTGGGATAAGCAATGTTAGTAAGTGTAGATTATCAAGATGAGGTTCGCGGAACAATGGTAACGGACGATTACAGAAATTTAATGACCTAACTCAAAATTGTTTTCAATGGCGTTTGTGTATCCACTTTTTGTGTTCTCGCAAATCCAAAAGCAATTCGTAGTGCAGTAGGGAATCGATACCGAGTACGGCTATGCAACACATCAGCGTGGATGGACGTGCACAGATATGGAATTCCGTCTTTTCGGCTATCCGAATATACCATGAACTGCGATATACTGTGCTGTTGAGGAGAAACTGATTAAAAGAGATCATACATGTGAAAGATAAGCTCCATTGGGCTGTCTATGAATTGTTTGATATTAATGAGCGAAAATGCCGGAATATTTTCACTGATCTCGATATTGATTCCGATCAAATTGTTTTGCTTGTCTCACGCTTGGTTAGACAATAGTCATGAGATTTCCGTGAAACATACATTTAAATCCACTGATTTTTTTGATGTCATCAATACTAATACAGATTCAATGAAGTCTGAAGAAAATAACCTTAATTTCACTTCGAATCATTGATGAGCAGTAATGTTATTCACAGTTACTATGCTTATCGACCATTTTTCACCTTCCACACTCAAGTGATCAGTTATAATTTCAAAGATGACAGGTGTCCAAACCAATATTGAAAAAGACGTACCAAACACGCTACGGAAATGAAAAGACACAACTTGGTGTTACGTGGAATTAGTAAAACAATTTTCACCCAGTTTGGACAACCATGAATAGTTTCATGAGAGCAGATGTAATACACCAGCTAAGGAGTAGGAATTGACTCACACATACAAGCAGCTAAATTGGTGCTGCCCCATCAAGTAGGAAAAACAGCGATAGGATGGGAATATCATGGACGCGGTTGGATAGAACACACATTGAGCAAATCACTAAAATGCGTCACAAAACCATTGCTCACTGTGTACTTTTAAGGTCAAAGGAAAATAGGAAGGCCAAGGAAAACCGTACGTCGAGAATTGGAGACACATATAAGAAGAATGAACAAAAATTGAAGAGAATTGGACAGATTAGGTTGGTCGGTGGCCTATGCTCCATTGCGGTTAACGTAACTAAGTAAGCAAGTGAGGTAACCTACTTCCAACAATGCTTGTACAATGTCTAACAGAACGGCAATATTGACAAGATCGTTCATCAAAATACATTGCAATTTTGATGAAACGAGTATTACGAAAATATGAATACGTATCTATAACTCGGTAGTTCTCCCAAGTGACAAATACTAAAACTTTTATACTCAAAATACCTCCACTCCAGCATTAGCCTTAATACTACTCACAAGCAACGGATTATCTTGCTCACAAACCATAATCTCCGATTCAGCAAACTTTAATTCATCTGACATCACAGGTTACTTTTTCAATTGCAGCAATTTCCCATCCTACTATAGGTATGCGGATGATGGTTGGTAGGATTTGAGCATAATGTTGGGCTAGCACATTTCGAGCAGCGGTTTTTTCGAAGCCTTGATGGTGTATACCGAGTAAGCAAGTGGATTGCGTCTTGTTGGTAAGTGATGATTAGTTGGTGGTTGAGTTCCGTGAAACGAGACTAACCGATCTCGCTGATCAAAATCAATAACACGTTTGACGAATAAAGCTAACGTTAGATTCATTATTGATGCGATGAGCCTGTCTTTCTTACATGACTGTCTCCCCATGAACAATACTTCCTATGACAATTTAGCGTCAAATCAGAATACATGGCGAGAGAAAAGTGTTGGAGTTTAAATATACTTTATCGAACCGAAAGATTTATCCTACTTTCAAGAGCGATGGCACTCAACATTGCTTCAGTTTTTGTCATACCAACAGATAGTCAGCCACATTGGAATCAATATATTTCTAATCTGTAAAACAAACATCAGACACATTTAGTGAATACTTGTCGGTCTTTTCTGCCTAAACTTGATCTCATGCAAACAATTCATCAACCAAAGAGTAAGTAGTGACAAAATATTGTAATCACAAAAGAAACTAAAAACACATTATCAATCTATTGATAAATATCAGAACATGATCAACTATAACAATAAATAAACGACACGAATAGAAAAGTTTGCTTTCTAAAAAAATGTAAATCATTACTATGTGCCTATTTATACAAACTATAACACATGAAATACAATGTTACATTTTGTGTTTTATAAACACAATGCATCAAACAAACTATGAGATCAACCGTACAATTATGCAAACAATACATATGTATATAGATATCACATAAACGCCAATAGGAGATTTTCTAGAAACATAGAACTACGGTGAAATCATCAAAGCAAACGCTGAACACAATAATTGGTGCATGTTATAAGTAGGTCTCAATCTTATTTGTAAGAAACAAATAACGTTTGTTGAGAACAGTCTACGCTTTAACTGAAACGATCACGGTTCAATATGTTTCAAACTTAAAACTATATTGAAGTATGTAAATAGTACAGAGAAGAGGAGAGAAGGGATCCAATGTTGTTTAACCAGACAAATACAATTATTTATTATTATCAAGAATAAATTCAGATCGATTTGTATGTGCACCGATCATAGGAGCACTTATCAACCTTGAAGTAAATTTAAATGCTGGTGCCATGACTTTGCGACCGGTATTCAATTTTTCAACGTCTGCATAACCATTCCAATGATTACCATGAAAGTGAACTAAATCACCAGGAGATAAATCAGTTTCAATATTTGATATTACTACCTCAAATGGTGCAAGTTGTTGTCCATTAAAATGATACACTTTATCTAATGAACGAAATTGTTGACTTGCATCACCCAATTCTAAATGATTAGATTGCATCAATTCGTAAGCTAATCGACAAACCTGTCACGAGGAACATCGGAGGAGAATAAAATAAAGCAGGCTTGAAAGCGAATTATTGATATAAGTGAATTATGTGAGAGTACAGTAACAAAGACAACCGATCATACTACTTACAAAATGATGATTAGTAGTAAAATTTCTCATAGCACTTTCATTTTGCAACTTATCTCGAGTGTTTCGTTGTCCGAATTCTCTCACAAAACGACTACTGGTTCGTCATCAGTCAAGACTTTCGTGAAAACAACTTACGAACCAACTATAAATAGTCAGTTCGCTCTTTCTATATACAAATCTTGATTAGTCAGAAAATCGTCAGTTCCTTTCATCAATAAAAGTTTTCGATAGAACTTCAATGCTATAAAATCCAATCAGTCAACCATGATCAACTTATGACCAAGTGTGAATTTCGTTCAAATTAATGATGATTTATACCAACCAACAAACAAACAAATGGTAACGATAAGATAAACAATGATAGATAACTAATTAGGCCGTTTACATGTCACTGTGAAACAAAATACAAACATCTTCAACTTACATTTGAAGAAAAAGTACAAACAAGAAAATTGGTTTTTGATAGCAATAATATGTCAGTGACTATGCCGATAATAGAATCATTATTTAATCGGTTTGAGATAGCAGCTGAATCAGCACGTCTACGATCACCATAAAATGTATAATTAGGATATTTCAATCTGGCTTCATCGAATAAACTAGGTTCATCAGTAGCTAAATACACACGTCGTTTTACTGGTTTCAATTGATGTTGTACATTGTGATTAAACGGTGAACGGATGTCGCCTTTCCATTCCTAA